CAAAGTTTCGTGTGAAGAAATCCTTGTGGTGGGATGCACAAATTTTGGAAGATCCAATTGCACCACACGAATAGGTGAGAACTTGAAAGGTACATTTTATCCCCTGATTTTAATAATGTGGAGGCGGGTGGTGGTTATTAGGGTAAACATCAAGTTTTGCAATGGTTTTGGGATTTAAGCAAAGATCTTCGACATCTCATGATGTTGTTATACATGTATAAGGAAACAAGGGCAATTAAAGTATCCACAGTCTTTTTTGTCGAATCCACTGACCAAAAAATGTCCTTCTATTGTTGATCTTGATTTTCTTTTCTTGAATTTTCTAGTTTGATAGGACTCGTTGCGAGATGACGACGTGTCAAGTTAAATCGCACGAGGTTAACCAGCAGGTGACGCCGAGAAATGGTTTCAGATTGACAAACTTGAATCTATTGAAAACGGCACGAGAAAATGGCATGAAAGAGAACGCTTGGACATTTGGACTGGCGGTGCCCTCCTCACCAGAGATTTGATATTTTCGTCAATAATGAACTGAATAAGCACCAAATGGGAAAACAGGGGATCCATACGCGACTGGGGACGAGATGCATGAGCGGGTGATATGCGTGTGCGGAGGCGGTAAATGATTATGACTCTAAGAAATATGCAGCACGCAAAAAAAGTAAATAAATAAAATAATAATAACAAAATAAAAATTCGGAAAAATACAGATAGATAGTTTGCCTCGGTAGACATTTTTATTTTTCAAATTGAGAGAGAAAAATGTACGAATTTGAAAAAAAAGAAAATTTTGTCCGGGTCTTGGATTGTGTCACTAAACAAAGATTGTGTATACGGTATGATACCTTGTTTCGTCACCAAAAATTTTTGTTATAAAGTTAGTTAGACTGACCGTGACATGGGTTTTCTTGTTTCCCGCTATTTTTGAAATAGGTTTTTGCCATGTTACGTGATCCTTGAAGCCCATCGTATTACATAAACCCGGTCTCTTGTATCACCGCAACCTTAAATGTACAATTATCAAATGTTGAATATACTGTAATCATGTAATCATTGATTAGCCTCGACATTTCCGTCTTATAGAGCGTTACCTTCACTCCCTTTGATGTCAAGTTGCAGTAGGTTTGATTTGATTTAATTTTTATTTTAATTTAACGTGCAGAATTTATGCCCAAAAGAAAACGCCGAAACATTCAGATGTGCGGTTTGGATTTCTTTTATTGCAAAATTTTTGGGGGCGTTCTTTGTATTTTCAATTTCCTCTGTTTTCTCGATTTGTTCATGGCTCTTCACAACCGCGCAACACGGATGTAGCCAATCAAGTGAGCGCATGCGAACACCTACTGTCGCAGATTATCATTATTCTGACTAATCACGAAACAAGGGGAAACATTCAACACTGCAACACCAAAGAATTGACGAATGATCTATTAGGAACTTTGGAGCGTGAAGAATAGAGATTTTTTATCGGGTGGGGTTTTATCGATTATCTTTGAATGTAGCCTCTCAATTGGAACCATACAGTAACTTTGAGATGATTGAAATCATCAATAATAATTTCGTTTAATCAAGGATTGATCGAAAGCACCTTTCACGATTACCGGATTTACAGTGCACCAGTTTCATTACATTGTTGTGCGAACGAAAATTTGAGAAACGTACTCTTTTTTTTTCTTTCTTTTTTCTTTTTGTTTTTCTTTCCTTTTTTTTTTTCTCGGCTTACCGCTTTGTGTAGCAGTAGAAAGGTTCTATGAGGCAAAATTTGGACAGTCTTTGGATAATGAACCCGAGATTGGAATCGATTTTCTATTGCCCGCTGCGCTTTTTGATAAGGTGTCACACGGTTTATCACTAACTCACGCGGAAGAGTGTGACAAAAACATCATACATGCATGAAAGACCGCGAAATTTTTTAATTTCATCTGTTACACGTCATCGTCGTTTGCATGTCTATGTATGATACGAATCGTATGGTTACACGTTTTAAAGTCGCCGTCGTCATAGCTTGTGCACGGATATGCATCGTTAACTGGCACGGTTTCGCGTGTGTACAATTACACTCGGATGTCAGCGTAAACTTTGCATATCGCACACTGCAGTATGATGACGTTATATACCTCCTCTTCGTCAAAAGGAAGAATACCTCTATCTCAACACTTTGGGGGTAATTTCACGCATGAGCGCATAGAGTAGATACGTGGATACGTGTAGTTGAAGATTTCTCGGCATCGTAGGAGTTGGCGTACAGTAAGGTTTCAGATGGTCTGGCTGAACCAAATCATTCTAGAAAGTTCATGACACAAGTGACCAATTTAGGAAGTCCTATTCAATTAGGAACTAACTAGGTAATAACATACCAATGTTTTTTTTTTTTTTTTTTTTTCAAAACCGCAAACAAGGATCCATCCTTCGGACAATCCTTGGCGATAAGATGCGTGATCGGCCAAACTAAAGAAAAGACCGAGTAAGATGTGACGAATTACATTTTGCCGTCGGTGTCACCTTGAAAACTCGCCGTTGGGAGATAATTTGTCACATCGATGTTTCACAAGAATGAAAGGAGCGACTAAATGCGGTAGAAATGAATGAGAAGCGAAGAAGAAATCTGCGACTATTCGGCGGTGTTGCTTCTCCTTCCTCATTTATTACGCCGATTTTTATCAAGAGAGGTTAGACCAGTTATCGTATCGCGATTCGGTTGAGTTAATGGGGGAACAACAAAAAGGCAAGTTTCATGATAATGAAAAACTAAATATTTGAATCATTCGTATGTTGCGTCAGAACTTAAAAATGTTAAAGTTTTATTGGGCAAACCATATTTTATATAGCACTTTGACCTCGTTCCTGTAATGTCATGTGCAGTTGTGTCATTTTTTTTTTTTGGTTTTTTTAAGGACCTGATTTGCATGCAGATGGGGAGGGCAGTCGGTCGGGAAATGCACGTAAAATTACATGGGAAACTTGAATTAAATTTTAATGCATAAATTTGTCAAACAAGTCGTCAAGCAGTGTAGGATTTTCAATGCTGTCGCGATGGTGAAATTTCGAATAATAGCGGGATTTCACGTGACTCGATTCTCAATATCGAGTATTATTTGCGCCTCAGATTGATAGCGCACACCGTCTTCCTAATATGCATGCACCTTGGATATTCATGTGATCTTAGAAGCACACGTTAATTGAACCAGGTTTCCTTATTGCACATGTGGAAAGGAGGCGATGCATGGAGATTCTTGTTGATTTCTCGTTACGAAGAAAAACGCGGCGTCGGAAAAAAAATGTCATCTGTGCTTTCCCCCCCCCCCCCATGATTCACCCCTTCACTCGAGTAAGTAAGTCCTTTGAGAAAGCATGTCAAATCGACGCACCAAAAACAGGAATGGGATCTGGTTTTCTTTGTTGGATTCTTCTTTTTTTCCATACCCAATTTAGTCAATTGTACATCGAATATGCGGTATAATATATTTGCGCAGAAGATACAGTATATGGCAATCAATCACGTTATCCAATAGGTTACTTATTCATCGCATCCTCGTCCATCCCCAATCTTTTTTTTTTTTTTGTTCCAAAATAGCGTTATTGTGCGTATCATTGACGATAAGCCATCATCAATAGCTCTCTAAAAATTAACGAAACAATGGTATGCTTGCACAATACACCGGGTGTTCGAGTGTACCTGATGTTTATTTATAAAATGGTTGGTTCGCCTTTTTTAAAAAAAAAAAAAGGTCAGAAAATACAAAAAAAAAAAATACCCGATTTTCTCGGTACAAAAAGACGACACTAATTTCTCGGGCATAAAAGGATTACGATTCCTATACCTCTCGTCATCCTGTAATTCTGTCTCCGCACTCTCGATAACGCGCACACGCGAACGAACACGTTATACTCTTCGGGAATCTAAATCATCACCCGAAAAAGAAATTCTGGGGCTTGCAGGGCAGCTCGCTAATCATTTTAGTATTCATTCTTAGCGCATATATTCTTAATAATAAACAGTAAATATTAACACACACAACAAATATTAACACACAAAAAAAAAGGCAATATTCCGCGGATATTCGAAAATATACAATACTTTTAAGAAAAAATAAGAAACTATTTAGGTTTCATTGTTTCTCGACCTATCGGTAAATCTGATCCACACCGGCTTAGCTTCAACTATATAACATTACAAGGTCTTCAGCCCCAATTACCATCAACCATCCCTTCCAAAGACAAAGGTTACGATAATAAAAAAAGTAGCGAGGAAAATCTCCTAGGCAAAAATAAAATAATAATTCTTTGTTCATCTCTTCACGCGGATTTTTTTAACGTGCGTTGGGTTTCAAATTTCCATCTCTCGTATACTGGTGGTGGTGGTGGTTCACAATACAACGTAATCAAAAACTCTTTTTTATACCTGAACTAATAATACGCATTACGCTTTGAAAATCCCTAAATCTGTTTCACCAAAAGTACCGGAAATCAAAAATTACCTTGCGAAACTCATTTTTGATTATCAAGGTAGTCTATATATAAACCCTGTTAGATTCCCCCCTTTAAGAATAGGTCGTTTGTCGTTCCTCCTCTCAACAAGTCGCGAACGCAAAAGATCATCTATTCAACCTTATCCATTTTTCATTAAATATAATGAAAAATTTAATCTTTGTCATTCTTATCTATTCTTAATCTCTTTTAAGGAACGCTTAAATTTTAATCTCCTTTAAAGAACACTAGAGTCTCGAGAGATATTAAAATGTTGATAGTTTCTTAGAAGATATTGGATTTTATTATTCGCACATCGCTTTATATACAATATACACTATATACTATACACACGCACATATATATATATATATATATACAGTATATGCACTTTAAAAAAATTATTTAAATACAGTTTATACAACTTATCAGAAATCAACACCCGCATCACCCTCAAACAAAAAATATGACTTACGTGTCCTTTGCCATCCCCAGCGTCGTCCACGACGACTCTACCGCCACGGTTCCAGAGGATGTCGTCAACGCAAAACGTATCTACAATGACATAAATGATTACCTGGAATACCTCGCCGAAATCTTGGAGGACGAGGTGGAAGAGGAGAGCGATGACGAGGTAGCTCCCTGCGTCCATCAGTTTCTGTCGGAATATCAAGAATACTTAACCGCCAATCCCAAGTCCATATTGAAAAGTGCATCCGAGTCGGACGAAGAAAGTGATGGCGACGCCTCCACGATATCATTCACCTCCAATTCCTCTTCGAGATACACCGATACCACTTGCGTCGAATCTCCATTGAGCACCTCCCCCAACGATGATTATTGTTTTACCACCGCCTACGATGGTTCCTTGAAACTTTTGCAACATGGAAAGAGTCGACGAAGTTCTGTGGCATCGCGGATAAGCAAAAGCTCCACCAAACGAAGAAATACCTATCGTCCCAACCTATGGAAGTATTCTTCGATATCCACCTGTAACAGCTTGGAGATGACGCCGAAAGCCTTATCGTCCATCACATTATCGGCCCCCTCAAAGGTGTCGATTTCCACCGTCGGCGAGGCAACTAATGCTTTTGCGATGTTTTCCTTTGAGTCGGAAAAATGTGGCCCTGGAGACTCTATTGAAATCTTGAGGTCGCAACTGAACGGCATAAAGGAGAGAAGTATGGTCATTAAAGGTTCACGTGACATAACCTCGTTGGCAAAAATGATTGCAGCGTGGAGCGAGAGTATACCCTTCTTATCGATATTCGCTTCCAAGGAAAAAAGTCCCGTTGTCGTCGCAACCTGTGACAATAACGACAACCACAACAAGGGTAAGGACTCTGTTGTTACTGAAGAGACGTCCAACGCAGTTGTACCAACGGAAGTTGCGAAGGTTGATGGTAGTAGTGACAACAAGGTGACACCAAGAAAAGATCAGTTCAAACTGTTCGAGCTTTTCGTAAATATTATGACGAACGGAAGAGTTAATTAACATATCTTGCCAAATTTGATACCGCCCAACCGGTTGCATGCACTATTCCTACGTCAACTGTGACCGTTGTAAGTAGAAGTTTGCACAAAACCTGTCACGCCTTCACTCGTGATACAATAATAGAATCTTGAAAAAAATTTTAGAAAAATCCCCCTCACCCACCTGTCCCTCTAACTGGTACATGGTATTACTCACCAAAAAAAAAAAAAAATGGTTTTTCCTTGTTTCATAATGTGTAATATATTAGTATAATGTGCTGTAGAAGGTTTCATTTTTATTATTATTATTTTTTTTATTTTTATTTTTTCTATCTTCTCTTTTCATCATTACTCACACATTACTTATCATTTCTTTTCACTCTAAAAATTTGTACATAAATTTCTTCAATTAATTTTCTTTCTTTCTTTCTTTCTTTCTTCTTCCTTCATTATGCATTCATTTATCGGTAAGATTTTGCGTTCTTGTCTTTCTCACCGCAGAAATTTGAAAGAAAGAACGCCCACGTATTTGAACCCACGGTGATTTATTTCTATTGTAATTATATTTCTGATGTATCTGCACGTTTGGCCTACATTGTATGCACAATTTTTAATGTTTGCACTAGAATTCTTAAGCTTTTCCTTGTATGCTCAGTCTTCTACGATCAATGAAAAAAAAAAAAGTGCTAAAATATTAATGAATGGCTTCTGTCGCCAATGTTAAATTCAAGTTCAACCAGTGTCTTTCGATTCTCATTCCTTTCCCTGCAGACTTGATGCCCATCAATTATTCAACGTAAATCGCACAGTTTCTCATCTCATTCCTCGCAGTGAACAATGACACCCGATAAAATTCGTGTTCAAACTTTGCCTCATTTTAAGAATTCGGACAAACTTGTGGCAACAAAGATTTTCATTCTATTTCTTTTTTAGGAAAACGAACTGGAATTTGACACAGTGCATCCTAATTCTATAGATCATGCGATTTCCCGAAACAAGCTTTATAACAAGACCGAATAAAAAAAAAAAAAAAAAAAATTTCCTGATCTTTTCAAGAAATTTCTCGTAAAGGGAATGTGATTTTGCAATTTTTTCAATGAAAATAATGAAAATGAACTGTTCTTTTTTGTGCACCGATCCCACCACCATCCATCATTTTCTTATCAATCCCAACACCATTGAGTGATAAATCACGGACGACAGGAGAATCAAATTACCATTCACGTGATTCACTTCGTTTTAGAAAAACGCGTGTGCCCTAACTTCTCAACAAATAATAATAAAAGTTTATATACATGTTGCTATTTGTGATTTAAAAATATTGCCAATCTCTCCTTTCCTATCTCACCTTTATTTAACAACAAAGGAAAAAAGCTATCTTCCCCACAGGGTCTCTGTTTTCATAAGTTATTATATATTACATTATTAATTATTAATTTTTCGGGTTTGGGATCGGGTTCGTGGAATAATAAATAATCTAGTGTTCCAGATTTTCAAAGAAAAAAATTATATGCATACGCAAATAAGAAACCGAGACTACACTTCCGCGAAATTATCCACCAATCTTATCGTGAAATCATGAATTACGACGTTGTTTAATCCCTTAAATGTCAGTTCGTACGAGTCATTTTTAAAAGGTCTGTTGAATGGATAGCCAAAAGGCTTAGAATCCGGAACTTTTTCTTCCCATTTCTGACCGCCGCACAGTAAGGTGCTACCGCACTGATCGTAGGTTGGCAAGAGATCGTTCAATCCATCCGAGATGTATATGATCATCTTAAATTTCATGCCTTCTCTGTTTCCCCTTGGTATAATCATGTTGTACGGCCATCCACAGTCGCAGAATAAAAGCTCCGATACCTCCTTTTCATCATATTTCGTCAGAGATCTCAGGAATGTCATGTTGAGTTGAGTGGAATCCATTTGCTCCTCGGTTTTCTGCGCAGGTTTGCGTATTACTATGGCTTTGTCGCACGCTCTCGTTATCACGGCTTTTTCAAATGGCTTTAAGGCACGCTTGAATTTATCCAATTCGATCCAGTATTGGGGTAAGTCGGCAATCACAGATGGAACGATGAATATTCGGAAGGTGAGGATCAAGGTCTTTTAAAAAAAAATATATATATATATATATATATATATACAGTATATATCTCAGCTCGGCATGTGATGTGCAAAGTGGACATTAGAATTCACAAGAAAAAAAAAATTATTCAAATATTTACGATGTCTACGTCATTTTTCACTCGGAAGAAGTAATACCAATCCCTGGGATACACATAGGTGATGTTTTCTTTGTCATAGTTATCTTCCCTCCACACCAAAGTTCTATTTTTCATCTTCGTCTGTAACTCTTTGGTGACCACAGTTTCGTTCGAACAATCGAGATCAAACTTTGAACCACCAAAGGTTTTATCGCCAAATGCTTGCCAATCATCTTTTCTCCCGTTGGGTGCAACTTTGAGCAGCACATCGGTGAACGCGAGATAGACGTCGGTCGATCGGATGGTGACATTCGGAGAGTCTTGAAGTAGGTCGTTGGGACCAAGGTTATTCTGAAACTTCAGATACAAATTATCTAGATGCCGATGCCACATCCAAAACAGGGGATCCCGTAGCCCGGCACGCGCGCCCACTAACACGCTCGGTGGATCTAAGCCCGAATTCATACGGTTTGGATGACTTCTCATTTAAACAAACGAGGAAAATGCGAAAATATCACTTACAACCAATGGTATACGGATGCATTAGGAAGCCGAGTATCTCATGTCCAAGGTTATGCAATATTGATTCGATCTCGCTCCCGAGATTATTCGCTTCGGAATCATTCCACCCCAGTTGGACAGGATGATACCTAGTATATTTGTGATCGATCCATTTTTCTAACTCGTTATACGTTTTATTTAAGAATTTGACCGTGTAAATGGTAAAAGAATTGCTACTTTTTTCAACTGCGATCAAAATTACGAAAATTAATGCGCGCGTATTGCATGCGTGAAGAGTGTTAATGGAAGTATAGATTACCAATGTTTTTAATCGTTTCGTTGACGGGACGAGCTGGAAACCAAACGCGGGGAGTTGAAGGATTGGAATCATTGTCTTGGGATAAATACGGATCAGGATAGAATGCCTCGGGTATGGGTGTTATATAATCTGGTAACGGTTCAACAATTTCGAGGCCGCATCCAAGACGGTCCGCATCATATCTAGATATGTAAATATAAGTGAAATGTACATTTCGCAAACACTCCCACGCCCTAGATAGCAATCGTTTTTCTATATTACCTTGCTAACATGTGTCTGTGCATGTAGATAAAATTTTCACCTTCTCGATCTCTGGTGACGCCATCAACTTCAGCCGAAATCATCACTATGTGCCAGTGCTCATGATGTTGATTCGCTACCGGATCATTACGCCACCAAAACATAAGATCCTTTGCCGGGTCATAAATACTTTTGTCCGGCCATCCATCAGCGTTGATTTTTGTTTCCGGTGGATTCTTAAATATCTGTTGAATCTCCTTTAAATACTTGTCCCCCTGTTCCTTAGTATCGTAGTTAATTGTTATAATATGGTTGCCATACTTTTCAATTATCTCGGCCACCGTTAGGTTTCCATAATTCCTTCGTTTTTCATTGGTGGCGTCACGTCCCATTAATATGGGATCGGCTTCTCGCTTCTGCTGATCACCTTTCACCACGTACACGAGACCGCGACGTGATAATTCATCTTTGAATGCATCGGCGTCCCGTTTCACATAGTTGAAACGATCGTATGGTTGTGATAGACCTCTTTTAAACGCCCTCCCTGGTATTTGGCTATGCTGTTAAAAACATGAAAATAAATATAATTTCTCACGTGACAATGACCTCGGTGACCACATCCTTTTTTCTAAACCCCGCCGATAAACTTATCCTTCTGTGCCAAAGAAAACGGTAAAAAAAAAAAAAAACAGTAAAAAAAACCTTACCTTATAAAATCTACTGTTCAAATTGTTGTTCTCGAATCCAGCAAGATCCCTCATTATTTTCGAATCCTTTGAGAATATTTTCGAGTCTTTATAAGATGTGTCACAAGGTGATGGTGGTGGTGGTGGTGGTAGAGGATAACGAAAAAGAAAATTAGCGAAAAGGTTTTTTTAAAAAAGAAAATCTCGAAAAAATCCCTAGTGTTTCAATGAACCCTTCGCCCGTTAAAAAGATCAATTGCAATTGTTGAGCAGAAAGAGACCCCTTGCGAACAAAGGAGCGGGTAAGAGATAAATTTAATAAAGTGGATGAAGTGGATGAAGCGATAAAAGAAAATTTTTATACCAGAGGAATTTCCTTCAACGAGGGGAGCAAGAATTAACAGGTTGATCTTATCGGTTTTTTAGTGGCTGTGCGGTGAAAACCTGAAATCGGCATTTCGAAGATATCCACTCTTTAATGGCGTGGCTGATACTACTTGGCATACATTATAGAGACCGACAAGCGTTTATGATACATCACGTAACTCGACAATGAACTTGCTATATAAACACCCGGTAGTTCACAGGCGCCTTGATTCAAGAGAGCTTTTCAAATTCACAAAGGAAAATTCCGTTTTGTCAATAGGAACGATAATTCCATTTTTGGTCTTTGAAAGATATATATATATGTTGAACTTTCATTATGTATTGGAAGTTGCAAGTGATAAAGATCTGAGAGGGAAATTCTTAATGACGGTTTAGAAAACGCTAATTTTTTGGAGTCATGCCACTTTTCATAATCCCTACTCATACTAAGCCCCAGAAATTTACGAATCAACCGTAATTTAACGAAGTCATTCGGAAATTATCCGCGTCGTTCTATTTCACAACTCTCTAATTCAAAAAAAATGATGTTCCCGCGATCATGTTTACTTTTATCAGATCGACCGACGACTAGACAAGATCAAAACATCGATTTCTCAACAAATAAACAATCATTTGCGAAACCACCTTCCCGAAAATGAAATGATCAACCTTTACATTTTATATATTTTTCATAAATTCATAAATTTAATCATTGTTTTAAAAGAAAATTAGTAGAATCACATATCATTTCAGAGCAACCAGTCATATTATCATTCATATTATATCTTCCATAACATCTGTCAAACAAGTCAATTTATCAGCATAATGTAAATTAATTATTTTTCGTATGAATTACAGCTTTATATTAAAAAAATTTTTTATTTTTACATATCGCATTTCTCGGCAAGCAGCACCCTCTCGATAAAAGTGCCCACCTTCACTTTTTATAAATAATCTCCTTCCCCTTCTCATTATTAAACCTTTTGTTCTGGTGTTTGAGAGATCCCCGGGTGCCATTTTGTCGAAAAATGCGATAATTTAAATGAATGTCAATTCAATATCTATAGGAAAAAAAAACAAAACCAGTAAAAAATTTCTTGAATACAAATGAATTTATATTTTTGTTAATAAAAAATTAAAAAGTTGGTTAATTTAGAAAAATTCTTTTTCTGATATTCTTTATAATATAGTAAATAGGTTTATTATTTTTTTTTAAACCCATGGTCAGGCCAGCATAGTTTGTTTATTAATCTTTAAGAAAATCGATAGAGATGCATTGGGCAATTATATCATGGCTAAACTAAATCTCATGCTGACTCACTTGTCAACAGCTTTCAAATCTCAAATGAGCTTAAGCCTCTAAGTGTAACCTTAGGAACAATATTTTGTTCTGGAATAAGTTTTGGGTAAAGACACTTCTAACTTATTCATTATTACTAGCAAGTTGTTGTTATCTATTATCTTTCAAGAAACTAATTTCAAGAAACTACAATGGGGAAAAGGAAAAATAAAAGGAAGGAGAATATCTAAAAATGCACAAATGTATATATATGAAGAGAAAAAAAAAAGAAAAATAAAAGTGCTCCATATTCTTTAAAGGATCTCTGCTAGAAACCTCCTCTCATTAGGAATATTTTTCTTCTTCCTGACTATTTAAAGAACTTATCTATTCATAATCTTGATTATTTTCTTGCAATTGTCTGAGGTACTTATTGTCTACTTGGATTCAGTATCTTACTAGTCCTTTCTTTCTTTTGATATTGATTTTGTATTTACCTATACTAAGCAATGACTTATGATAGATCCCAGTTTCTTATATAACCTTTTAGTTATATTATATAACTACTGATATTTTCTAGCAGTTATGATTAATTAAAGGAATTTTATTAGTGAGTATCTTCTATTGCCTATAAAGTAAGATTATTCAACAGTTTTTTTGTCTTACAATAATGAACAAAATTTCATAGAGTAGTAGAGATTCTCATCAATTGTGATATCATTATACAATATTTGAAAAAATGTATTCTTAATCCTAAAGAAGAGTAGTGGCTCACAATCTTTTGCTTTTTAGTTTTATTGCCTGATCAGAATAAGGAAATAATTTTCTTTATATACTTTGCCTGATCAAAATAATAAGAAGTTAAAGATCTTGGCTTAAACAAATAACTATCTTTTCATCACTTAAGGAATTTAGTACCTATTCTTATTATATTTTCACATAATCTCTTTCTGTTGATTCTCTGACCATATACAAAAAAGATATTTGAAAAAATTTTTTATATTTCTTGACTAATAAAGTTTTATAAACTTTCTTTAAATCAACTTGAAAGAATCTTTCAAGAGTTATCTTTATCTTCCCCTTTTCTCTTGTAAACAATCTTCTTCAAATAAAAACTTGACTTTCAGTGATAAAAGTTATGAATATATCTTTTTTACCAATGGCAAGAAAGTTTTGAAAGGAAGAAGAATTGATAGTACTACTATTTACTCACTTGCTAAAGAAACAATACAGAACTTTTCCGGTAATAAGTGACTTATCTTGAAAGCAAGCACCTACTTTCTTATTATGTACTTACTCTAAGAATACTTTTTCTAAGTTTTTTGAAAAATTTTATCCACATCAGTTTGATCTTAAATCTTAAGTAGTACATAATTTTTCAAGTAGTGATTGGTTAGCAAGAAACATGTCAGTAAAAGAATATAAATAAGCTTTCATTGGTCATACTATATATCTGAATGTATTTCCTTAGTATTTATAAGAACCTGAGGTCTACTATAAGTCATATATTATAGTATGGATGAATATAAAATATGAATACCTATGATATCATTGGCTATATAAAAAGAATAATACTAGATTAGGACATATTAGATAGAAAATATCAGTTTTATACTTCTTCTCCTCTACTCTAATAAACTCAAGTAAAAAAGAAAATAATTTTATGAAATAAGATTCTTTTAAAAGAGTTTTGGATACCTATCACCTCTTCTTTGAAAATATATCTGTCACCTTTTTAAACAATAAAGTATCTCTCTAGAAATAATACTAGTTAATATTTTTTTTATAAAATTTTTGATTAAGCGCTAGTAAAGATTAAGGCTTCACATGAGAAATTCTCAATATTAATAGTATTGAATATTTCAGATAAATTTTTGATACATTAGCTTCCTCTTTAAGGATAGTAATAAGCTGTTTGATAGATCAAGACCTGAGCCGTCAATGAAGTTCTGGCAGGATTTGAGTTTCTAGGAAGTGTCTAAGTATAAAATAGAAAAATAATATAGTTTGTGTATTATTCTTCTTATTATTTTTAGCATTTTGTTTTTGTAAGTAGTTAATCTATACTAGATGGTCATGTAATTATCTTATTCTAGTTGGGTAAAATGTAAATAGTTTGCTTCTTGTATTATTTATTAATCTGTAAATCATTAGACAGTACGAGTAATTATTTATTCTAATTATTCCTAAATTTTTTACTTACATTACTTTAATAAAATATGTAGTACATAGGCACAAAGATGAGCTAGTATCTTAAAAAAAAAAAATTTAATGTCCATCCTAATGGTCTTATAATTTCTTTGCTTCAGTTATACTTTATTTGGAAAAGTGAAGAATTTCATATCAATAGATTCTCTTTCTTTTATCAATAATATTATCGGAATATGTGAAGTGACCAGTAGGTACTTGTTTATATTTAGCTACTAATATGTTTCATGTCTACCAATTATATTTTATAATAGATTATATTACCTAAAATTTAGAATTAAACTGAAGTGAAAAAAATTCTTCAAAAAACTAAAAAATTTTTTGAACAATTATAAGAGAAAAGATACAATAGGTAGATATCTTAAAATATGGCTTGATGTTCATCACCTCTCACTACTAGAAACCTCTATAGACATGCTTCAATATAAAAGACTTCAAGTATTATACTATTAGTTTTTTTTTTTTTATAGAACTTTTTTATTATTAATAAAGAAAGTGTTTCTTGACTTTTTTAGGTTACAGGAAGCAAGTTTTTATTTGAAAATAAATATAAACAAGGAAGAGGGTTTGGAAGTATCTCTTGAAGTAAAACTTACTTCAAGTTGATTTAGAGATATTGTTAAGACTTTATTAGTAAAGAAATAAAAAATTTCTTGTGAATATCTTTTTTATATATAGGCAAAAGATCAATGAAAAGAGTTTTTTTATATAGTAAATAAGTTTACTTAAGAATATGTAATAAAAAATATATTTAATTTTTTTTTTATTATTATTAAGAATTATAAAGCTTAGTTACAATAAAATTATCAATTACCACTAGTATATAACAATTTTGTCTATATATAAAACTATTCTATATATATTAATAAATCATATTCCTCAATTTATAATGAACTGAAAATATTAAAGAACACATTTGTAAATAGTCTTATCTTTATAACTTGTTATCAAAAAAAGTTCTACTATTCCATTATCTATGTTTATATTATCTTTTTATGTTTCTTATTTTTATAGGTCCTAGATCTATAATATATGATTTCTTTTATATCTTGTTTTATTAAATATTCTTTTTACAATATCTATTATAATATGTTTATAAAATATTCAAATGGGATCTTAAATGTTACTTCATTATATTGAATTACACTTTTTATATGACTTATTACAACCTGCTTATAGAATAATCATATAAAATATTAGACAAAGATTAAATTTAATAAGA